TGAACATATATTCACTGCCTCCTTTTGGGGGAAAGAATTTTGCTTTTCAGTTGACAGCTTGGCAATTGACAGCCACCAAGTAGAAAGCAACCTTTATGGAGCCTCATTTGTGCACGTTCTTCTGTGTTAGCACTTCCCAGGACATCAGCTGGCCAAGAAGAACTTGACATGTTGAGCAGCCCTTGGCACGTGTCTGTAAAGGACTCTTTGTTGCGAAGTCGTGTCCAACCCATTGGAATGGACAACATTCCTCCAGGCCTACTTGTCCTACACCATCCCTCGGAGTCCACTCAAGCTCACACCAACTGCTTCAGTGAGTCCATCTAGCCTCCGTATTCTCTGCCGGCCCCTTCTTGAGTTGCCATCTATTGTTTCCAGCATAAGGCTCTTGTCCAGGCAGTCCTTCCTTCTCATTAGGTGGCCAAAGTATGTGAGTTTCATCTTCAGGATCTGGCCTTCTAAAGAACAGTCAGGGTTAATCTCCTCTAGGACTGACTGGTTTGATCGCATTGCAGGCCAAGGGACTCGCAGGAATCTCCTCCAGCACCAGGAGCAAGCGGCTTTTAATTTCTTGGCTGCAGTCCCCATCTGCAGTCATCTTGGAGCCCAGGAAAATAAAATCTGCCACTACCTCCATTTCTTCCCCATCTGTTTGCCAGGAAGTGAGAGGACTGGATGCCATGATCTTAGTTTTCTTAATGTTGAGTTACAAGTCAACTTTTACACTCTTTTCCTTCACCCGCATCAAGAGGCTCTTTAGTTCCTCTTCATTTTCTGCCATGAGAGTGGTATCATCTGCATATCTGAGGTTGTTGATATTTCTCCCAGCAATCTTAACTCCAACTGGTGATTCATCTAGCCCCGCCTTTCTCATGATGTGCTCTGCATATAAGTTAAATAGGCAGGGCGACAGTATGCAGACTTGCCAAACTCCTTTCTCAATTTTGAACCAATCAGTGGTTCCGTGTCCAGTTCTCACTGTTGCTTCTTGACCCGCGTATAGGTTTCTCAAGAGACAAATAAGATGGTCAGGTACTCCCATTTCTTTAAGAACTTGCCACAATTTGTTGTGATCCACACAATCAAAGGCTTTAGCATAGTCAATGAAGCAGTAGATGTTTTTCTGGAACTCACTAGCTTTCTCCATGATCCAGCGTATGTTGGCAATCTGATCTCTAGTTCCTCTCCCTCTTTGAAATCCTGCCTGTACTTCTGGTAATTCTCAGTCCACATACTGCTGGAGCCTAGCTTGTAGGATTTTGAGTTTCACTTTGCTAGCATGTGAAATGAGTGCAATGATGCAGTAATTTGAA